ACAGAAATAGCTCTTCTATAAAAAATCCCATACAAAAATAATAGTATTTATGCAAAGTTTGAGATACTACGAAATAATGTATTAGCCTGTGTACTCAACATAGGAAGGAAAGTCTCTAAGAGGCAGACAAGATGTGTTTTCCTCTTACCTCGTTCCAACTCCTTAGGGCATGACACCAGCCTATGCTTCACGCAGAAAAAGAACAAAGTTACACTTTTCTGGAGACATGAGCAGAGCCAAGTGTCTCTAAGTGGAAAGTGGGCCACCTGGTGATCTCAGCCATCTCCTCCCTTCTGTCCAGGTACAGCGTGGCAGGGCAAATGGGCACCCAGGCGCTTCACAGCGCTGGTGGGGGTCCCCAGAACTCAGAATGTTGTCCTACACTCATGGAAAACACCTGTGCCACATTCACAGGAGTGGCCGGTCACTGGGACATTTATGTACGAAGAAACAAAACCAACCCTGAGGAGTCTGACCATGCAGAACCAGGCCACCTTTGTATTCAGATGATGTCTGAGGGGGAGAACTGAGTTTGGAGTCAAGCCTGGCAAAGTGACGGCCTCTGAAGCCCAAATAATTTGGTTGGAAACAAGCCACTATGGCCCAGATGGCAACCCCACCTCTCTAGTCCCTACCAATGTCCAGAATCTATTGTGACTGTGACCATCTGCACCTGGGGTCCTGAGAGGTCCAGGCTGACACTGCATGGCAGGGCTTGGAGAGATCCCCTGGGTTCCTCAGATTGTTTTGGCACTCGGCAAGACTGTCGCTGTCTGGATGGCCCATGGTGAAAGTGTACTTTACAGTAGGCAATGATGCCCCAAGGAAGAGACAAATTGGAGTGGACTGCTACAGAGGCTAAGGGATGCTGGGTCATGAAGCTCTGCATACTTCCATCTCTGAGGGGGTCCCAAGAAATGTTCTCCCTTTCTGAGACCCTAGTAGAGAATACATAAACCCCAACTCGCCAGTGTGGCCAGAATGCTTCTAAAGTAGCTTTCTAAGCAGGACCACTCCACTCTGCTAGGATGACAAGGAGCCATGGCACTGGTTCTACAGGCAAATATATTCCAAGATCTCACCTTATCTGAAAGAACTATACAGAACAGACAGCATATACGAGGAGCTTTCCTGCCCTGACTCAGTGAGGGGTGGCCATCTACCAGGCCAGTGTTTGTACTGTAACACATGTCAATGGTTTCTGTACTAATCACCCCCTTAGCATATTGTGAACATAGATATATGTGGGAAAACTGGATCCTACAAACTAACTTCAGATATTTTGCTCATATTTAAGAGGCAAGTTCCTGAGGCTTGTCATAATTTATAAAGGCTTTTTAGCAATAAAAAAATTAAAGGAAGAATGTTGCATTGAGCTCCCCCTATTGAATGATGTAGTGTTTGGCTCAAGTACAGGATAAAAGGATATCGGTGAACCGAACTAGTGAGCAGGAAGGCACATTCTGAGGATCATTTAGGTGACATGATGTGCACAGCAGTATTCAAAGACTGTGCATTAATGAGCATTAGTGCTTGGAGGCAATTATTCATCAAGGTGTAGAAAAATAGGAAGCCCCAAGGGAAGCTGGTTCTAAGGAATCTAGTCTGTATTTCACCAAAGTCAGTCAGTCCCAGTGCACCATGAGGACCACTTCCATGTGTTCAATTCACAAACTACATCTTTAAGAACTAGCAACCTAGAGAACACAGGTCAACTCTCCAGCTCGGATCACTGGCCTGCGGTGTAGGGTCAGTTCAAGGGAATGAGGCTGATTGAGAACTTCGTGGGCTTGCTACCATCCTCACCTGGCTTGTGCACACAAAAGCCAGCAAGATTTGGTATTTTAACACCCTCCCCACAAACAATCCCTGCTCAATGCTTACCACTAAGAAAGACAATGTCAAAGCCCTCTGCGGCAGACTGAGTGAATAAGGACAGCCCATTGTGTTGAGAGTGAGCTTATAAAACAGGCTTCTTGCTCTGGGTGTGGTTACAGCACAAACAGCTGAAGCCATTCTCGTCACCTGCTTAGTCTGTCACTGTTCAGACTGTCTCAGAGCATAAATCACATTGTACTTGGAACAGTTTCGATGCTTCTGACAAGAATTTGGTTTAGATGTAGAATGCAGAGTTAGGGTGCTATGTGGGGATACAGTGGGCCATTTCCATTTGGATTATCTGATGGGGTATTCTTTTTGAGGACAGATTGGGAATTGTCTTCCAAAAATGATAGTGTACTGTTACTGCTTTGATTATACATTTTGCTAACAAGAGTTTTCCTCACTTATTCTGGCAAAATGGCAGATTTTTCTCCTTACCACTTCTTTAAAAGAATCAAAGAAGCTGCAGAACACATGGCCACCAGCCTGTTTTCTGGGGGATTGTTTAGAGAGAGGAGGATTCTGTTGAGTCCCTTTCTTCCCATGTAAGGCACAATGAATGCAAACCCGAGCAGATTTCAGTAGGGGACAGGCAAGGGGAGTCCTCTAATCACTGAGGACCTGAGCAGCTTGCAGCCTGTGAAATGTTACTCACATGGCATGTGGAGGCCAGAGTCAGCTGCCCATGTGGTCAGGAGGGTAGAGCGGACTGACAATAGTGCTACACACTTGAGAAACTGAACCTCAGGAGGGGAAAGCTTCTTGAACACACCAAGCATGTGCCCAGCACTTTTAGGGTAGGTTACAACTGTGTGTAAGGATCCTATGTGCCCTCCTACAAAGAAACATGGATGCTATGACCACAACTTAACTCTTCCCCTTCCATTTTGATCCTGTTGGACCTGGAGGGATGTGTTTAGGAAGACGGAGACCACGGTTCCTCCTTTCCAACATCTCAGTTTAGGCTCTTCAGTTTTCCTCACTCTGTAGCCCTGGCTGCTTCAGACTGACCCTTCTGCCTGTCTAGGATAACAAGGAAATGTTACCCTCTTGGCTCAATCTAGGTTTTTTTTTTCCAGGCAAAGTGCTGCACTAGCAGCACCTGATGACCACAGTGGTCATAGAGGTTGACAGCAGGACATACTGGTAGCTAGCATGGCCAGGGGTGGGGGCACACAAAGACTGAGTCCTTGTTGGCGACACCCCATACAAGGATCTCAGGCAGCCCAGGTTGGCCTTGAATTAGGTCTGCAGCCAAGGCTGACTTTTAAATCCTAACTTTCCTGCCTCCGTTTCTCAAACCCTGGGGTTAGAGGCACTGACACGCCCAGCATGACAGCTCTTAGAGCCCATGCTTTGTCAACTAAAGCGTGCAGCGGCAGGAGTGAGAACTCCTGCAAGGATCTGCTGCCTGGTAAAAGGAATGGGTGTAAGGCATGCATTTGCTTTTTGCTCTGCAACATCTTAGTACTCTGAAGACTAAACAAGCATGTTGTTGCCTTTGGCCTCTCCAGGTCTCTGCTAGGCCTGTCTCTAAGTATAAAGACAGAAGTGGTAGTGCCAACAGGAGGTTGCATTCTGGATCCTTTGTTCAGACAAAGCAATGTGTGTTCTAGAACTCATGCCAATACGAAACTCTGCAAAACCTGCCAGGACCTTTGTGTCCTTTGAACACTCGGGCTTGCACTACAGCTTCCTTCTGATACAGTGAGTTTCCTCTCAAAGGAACCTAAGTTGTATCTGCACATTCATGTTTATCAGTGTTAATGCCTCGTAACATTTAAGTTAACCAAAGCTTTTGCTTCCAGCTCAAACTTCCCCAACAGGACTAAAAAGAGCAGCATTTTTGACTAAGTTTGGTGCAGGACCCACAAGAGCCATATACACAGGATCAGGACAAACACATGAGACTTGAGCTGGTTTCAGAAATGATTCTCCTACCATTCTTTGCCTCCCTTCAAGGCCTTAATGTGTTAGTAAGTTGGGTTTGGCTTGGCAGTGGATGTCCCATGCTCCCGTACTGAGAGGAGCAGAAATCACAGACATACTGGAGTGGTCTCACGGCATCCTTGGCTTTGAAACCATCACGGATGCAGTCAATTGGAGTGTTCAAGGTTTTAACAAAAACACTGAATATTGAGTTAATTTGAAATGCAATTTACCCAGGAATAAATCTAATAAGGTCATTTTGATAATTAAAATATGAAAAAGATAACATGTACAAGAGAACAATGATGTTCATATTCTTGAAATAAAGACAAAAGTAGTGACATTTGGTTCATTTTCACAAATTGCACATGGGTAAAATCATACAGTACTGCAGACAGCTATCGACAAGCAATTTAGTCAAAGAATTTGCTTCTTTGTTTCACTGAAAATTAAAAAGCTGTATGAAATGCATAGCTTTGATTAAGACTATAAATACAGTTTCCTTCTCAATAAAATTCCAAATTTAGAATGCTGGCAAAAGGCAGTGCTGGCAAAGTTTTTAATGCACATGGAAATGCTATTCTAGTTTGGCTTCCAGAAGTAGCCCTAGGAACTCCTATGCACCAACGCATTGACAAATGGTCACGTCAGTTTTCTGTGAATTATTTTAAATGTCACCTAGGTACTTAAAGTTAGCGCTTGCTCCCTTCTAGAAGCTAAGGCAGCAGATGCATGAAGCACCTCAGCTAGACTTCCAACTAGCTCAGCAGTTCACCTGTGCTCCTCAGGCCACAAGGACTGCAATCTACATGGCTCCCTGGACACCCACTGGGACTTCCAGGCTCACTTCTGCCCAACGGGGCAAAAGCCGTCATCACTGCACACTGTCCTTGCAGCAATCTCAAGTCTAAAGTCTCACACACTGTGGGGTCTTCAAACTCCACCTCCCTGAAGACAAACTTCATTTGCTGTCATTCTTCATGGACTGTCCCCTCCATCTCTTCAGAAGGCATGCTTTGTTGGCTCTGCTGATCAGTTCCCATTCATGCTTACTTAACTTTTAACCATCTCAGCCTTCATGTAATTTGCTTATTGTGTTTCTCTAGTTTTCACTAAACACAAATGCAAAGGCAAAGACTGAAGCAATCATTTCAAAACACAAGAGCTCACACTAAAGACACACATGAGCATCAAATATTAAAACATGAGTTTTCTCCTGTCTTTATTCTGGGGAGGAGGAATCTTCCTCCTCATCTTCCTCGTCTTCATCGTTGAATGAACAGGGGGTCTCGCCGCGGGACTCAGAGCAGTGAGAGGCCGCACTACTGGACTGGTGACTGTCTGGGGCAGGGAACTGCCCAGTTGCTAAGGCCACTTCGGCATCCAAGCACAACCCTTGGTTCACACTAGCAAGTAAGTTAAAAACACAGATTCATTAGTGTAGTGCAGACAGGAACAAACAGAGGAAGGAGGTACCGCTGAGCACATCTGCTACGAACCTGACCCACCTGTTGCAGCAGTGACAACGGCCCTGGCTCCCCACAGAAGAGCCAGAGCTCTGGGGCTGGCTTTTCTCACCTTGAAAAAATACATACCTTGACTGGGGTGCAGTGGCACTAGTGGTCAGGTCTAAATTTGAAACTGATTGGGTAGAGTTCAAAAGCAGTCCCTGGTCTAACCAAGAAGGTCCTGTAGAGATATCTGCAAACACCAAAAAAAGAAAGAAAATGTAGGCTCTGCACTCTGGTTGTTCTGCTGTGCCCTGAAGTAAGCATGGGCTGCACGCTTGGGGACAGCTGGACAATTCTCCTGCCCCATGAAGAACCTGTTTTTTTGGGGGTGGGGTGGGGTGGGGTGAGGCACCAATAAATTCCTGAAAGAGAATGGAAAAAAATAAAGGAAGACAGACTTCAGGGAAAAAGAATTCACAATAAAACCATCACTGGCTCCTTTTAGTTCAGTGTTCTTGTTTTCCCCAAGACTTATTTTATTATTTTTAAATCATGTGTATCTGTAAAAGCCCGAGAGGGAATGTATGTATACGAGGTGCCAGTGGAGGAAAGGGGTGTGGGTCCAAGCTGTGCGCTGTCTTCCACAACAGCAGTATCAACTCTAACTTAACTACTCTAGCCTCCCTTTGTCTTTATGTAACACCTGACAAGGCTGCTTACTGGGTGTAGTAAGAATGTGGCCAGAATGTGGGCTATCTTACACATCTGCCATCCTCACCATGAAACACTACGACAGTGACATTAACAGCGAAGCTGGAATTGGACAGAGACAAGACAAATCACAACTGTTTTAGGAGAGACCACACAGCTTATGGATCAGGCAGACAGATACACTCCTGTCACCCTTCCCCCACCTCCCACTGTGTGTGTGCACAGGTGAGACTTAGGACTTGCTAATCAGGCTAGGTCAGCAGGCCAGCAAGCCCCAGGGATCTTCCCACCTGTCTCCCTAAGCGCCAGATATGAGCATACATCATCACGTCTAGCTTTTTCCACAGGTGCTGGGGACTGAACTACATACAGATGGTCCCAGGCTTGCATAGCAAGCACACTACCAACTGAACCGGCTCCCAACCCTGTGTATGCAGGTGAAGCCAATCCTGTTGCTCATCAATGATCTATGCTTCTTCCTACCTAGAGGCCCCTCCACTTCCACCCCTGGTGTCATTTGCTTTATAATCCAAAGTAGTCTTAAGATTGTGCTTTCATATAATGCAGTTTTAAAATTTATTTTTATTTTATGTGTATGGATATTTTGTCTCTATGTGTATCTGTGTACCATGGCCTGGTTCCCATGAAGACCAAAAGAAGGCATTAAACTCAAGCTACAGGTGGTTGTAAGCCATGGTGGATGCTGGAAAGTGCACCTGGGTCCTCTGAAGAGCACCCATGCTCTTAGTTGCCGAGCCTTCTCTCCAGGTCTGTGGTGATGGTTTTAATAAAGGTGAGACAGGTAAGAGGTGTTTCAGCTCCCAGGAAACCATAAGGGCATGTCGTGGCATCTCCTTTTCCCTGAATATGCCATGCTTCTCCCACCAAAGCAGACCAGTTCTTACTACATTGTTACTTGCAGGATGCCTCCCTGTCTAGAATGTTAGCTCAGAGAGAACTGTAACCTGAATGTCTAGGGACCTCAGAATTAATGAATGAATGTATATAGTCTCTTACAACAATTGTTTTTTTTTCTGTTTAGTTTTTCAAGACAGGGCATTTCTATGTAACGGTCTCCAACTTGTTCTAGAACTTGTTCCCAGCACTTGGGAGGCAGAGGCAGATGAACCTCTGCGAGTTTGAGGCCAGCCTGGTCTACAGAATGATTTCAAGGGCAGTCACAGAGAAATTTTTCAGAGAAAACCTGTCTCGACCCACCCCCCCCCCAAAAAAAAGAGAAAAAGATCTCACATCACTGGGCATGGGTGGTACCCGCCTTTAATCCCAGCACTTGGGAGGCAGAGGAAGGTGGATCTCTGTGAGTTTGAGGCCATCCTGGTCTACAAAGCAAGTTCCAGGACAGCCAGGGCTACACAGAAAAAACAGTGTGTGGGGGGGAGTCGAGACCACAGACCCCATCACATGATAAGGCAAAACCCAATGAATACTCAGAAAATAGCTTGTTCAAATACACTTTTATTGTATTGTATTTTTGTTTCTATGGGGGTGTGTGGATGTGCCATGGCATGCGTGTAGAAGTCAGAGGACAACTTTTTAAGCAGTTGGCTCTCTCCTTCCAACATGTAGGTTCTGGAGATGAAACTCAGGCTTGGCAGCAAACATTTCACCCACCAAACCATCTTGGCAGCCCTCAAGCCTTCCCCCCCGCCCCATGTGTGTGTGGGGCAGGGCATGTGCGTGCCATGGCATGCTTGTGGAAGTCAGTGGGCTGGGGAGCAGGCTCCTGTGTCTGGTGTGAGGCAGGATCTCTGGGGTTGCTGCACTGCACACTCACAGCTGATCTGTGAGCATCAGGCCCATTCTGTCTCTACTTCCTCATCTCCCTGCAGGAATCCCACGATGAAGATGCACGCTACCAGAATGGCTCTTTGTGTGGATTTGGAGGATGAAACTCAGGAGGCCAAGCTTGTGCAGCCAGTGCTCTTACTCAGATACTTTCCCATTCCCTTTATTGTACAATTTCTGTAATTACTATGCAAAAAACATAGAGTCATGTATGCTAAGATAGGAATTCTGTCTAGCCACTGAGAACGAGCCCGTGCATGAATGAGGAAACTAAATAAACGAGTACATCGATTTTAGACTTTAGACTGGCCTGCTGGGCCTTTTCTTCACAGGCTAAGGCAGCTGTGAGAGGAGAAAAAAGACTCCAATTCTAAGAAGAAAAGCAGATTGTGAATACACTTAATAAGAACAAGTCTGAACAAGATGAAATTAAAGCTGAATCCTGTGCTGAATATGAATTAGTGTACAGAACTGTGGAGACCTTCTGCTGGGTCACAGCTATTCAGTTGTAGCATTACAGAGTATATTTCCTTCTACAGTGGATCTGAAAAGCCCACATTTCTTCACATTATTACAGGCTCTGCACGGTGGTTCTCATACTCTCGTCCAAGGGCCATTCCCTCCCTTTCACACTAAAGGGACATGTCCCTTTGAACTGACAGGAAAATCTGTAGCCCAGTCTGCAAATGAGGTCATGAAGAGATCAAACTACAGGGCCTGCTAATCACCCTGAACCTTTCCACTGGGAATAAGAGAAAGAAACTTGTGGTGATTTATTGAGCCGGTCCTTTATTCAGACACTGCTGGACTTCCAGTCCGATGAGGCTAATGAAAACATGGAGCGAAGGGAGCAGGGAACAGTGCATATATGGTTAGAATCGGCTGAGGTGCAGGAGGGGCTGGGGGCCACACTTGCAGAAGGCAGATGGTACTGACTTAACACATGCAGCACAACAGAAATCAAATCTCAGTTAAAAAGACCTATGAGCAAAAAGATAAAGCAAACTACCTTTCTGCTTATATTTGAATTTATATTCCTTACAACTAATATTAAAACTCTGTTTCAGAGATGTGAAGTCAGGTACAGTGGTGTGCACCTATGATCTCAGCTACTTGGAGGCTCAGGCACCAGGTCACAGAAGCCCAGGAGTTAAAATCTAGCCTAGACAATATTGAGAGTCCATCTTGAAAAAAATAGCAACAACCAAAAATGTGAAATTCTAGATGAAAAGTCCCAAATAGTTTTAAATGTTCAAGGTACCTTTGAGAATATATAATATTGTTGAGATTAGCAAAACCACAAACATTTCCAAGTTAGTGGAAAATATATGAATGTAAACCTTTTTATTAACTATACCTCCTATACCCTTTCAATTTATTTATTGGATTTTTCAAGAAAAGAGTTCTCTGTGTAATAGTCCTGGCTGTCCTGGAACTCTCTTTGCAGATGAGGCTGGCCTCAAACTCAAGGAGACCCAACTGCCTCTGCCTCCCAAGTGCTGGTATTAAAAGGTGTGCACCACTGGCACCTGGCTACTCTTTCAATTTATAATAAAAAGAAAATTATGTCTCCAAGAAAAATGTATAAGCAGCCAATAAATACATGAAAAGATGCAACATCCTAAATCATTAGGGAAATTAAATAAAAATCACTGTGAGTTACCATTTCATGTCCACTATGTAAAATTATAACGATGGACAGGGATAGGAGTAGCTTGGTAGTAGAGTGTGTAATTATCATTCAAAAAATTATGTATTCAATCACTAGTGCCAAAAAATTGAGGTGTGGAGGGTAGTGAGAAGGATATTTAAAAAAAAAAATCAGAAGCCTCACACATTACTTTGTAGAACTGTAAAATGGTATAGGCACTTTAAAAGCCATTTAGTATCTCATAAAAAAAAAAAATCTAACAGTTCTGCTCCAACAAAGCTGTAGACATGTTTGTAAAAGCAAAACACTAGGGCCGGGCGGTGGTAGCGCATGTCTTTACAGGGAGGCAGAGGCAGGCAGATATCTGTGAGTTCAAGGCCAGCCTGGTCTACAAGAGCTATTTTCAGGACAGCTAGCACTGTTACACAGAGAAACTCTGTCCCGAAAAACCAAAACTAACTAACTAAATAATAAAAAACCAAAACACTAACAATCCAAATGTGTACCAACTGATGAATGAAAATGTGGTACCTTTATAAAATGGAATATTATTTACCAATTAAAAAGGAATGGGGACCAATTAAGCTTCCCTAATCCAAAAATCCCAAGTCTGAAATGTTTCAAAATCTAAAACTTTCTAAGTACTGACATAATGCCAAAAGTGTAAAATTCCATACCTGACTTCATATGATAGGTCACAGTCAAACACAAGCATATTAAAATACCCTACAAAGTAACTGGGTAGAATTGTATATGAAACACAAAGAGATATTATATTTAGATTTGGGTGCTACCTCTCAAATAACTTTATTATGCAAATTCAAAGATTCCAAGAGACAAAAAACAACAACTACAAACAAACAAAACGCAGCCAGATCTAAAGCACTTCTCATCCTAAGCATTTTTGGGCAACCAGAAATACCTAATACAAAGGCATGGAATAGCTTGGATGAGTCTATTAAATATACTATGCAAAGTAGAAGAAGCCATTACAAAAGCCACATAATATTCAATCCTGTTTATATGTGATGGAAAACCACGGTCGTAAAAACAAAGAAACAAAGAAAAAAACAAAAACATTAAAACCAGACTAAACTACTAGTTGCCAGGGGCTGGGGTTGTAGTATGTAGGGAGTGCTAATGACCTGTGGTTTTTATTTATGGTTATAAAAATGCCCAGGATCTGGGTGTGGTGGCACATGCCTTTAATCTCAGCAGCGGCAAGCAAGGCAGGTGGGTCTATGACTTTGAGACCAGCCTGGTCTGTTGTGGGATTCCCCTCTGTATGCTGTGAATACCATTGGTGAATAAAGAAACTGCCAAGTTTCTTGTTGATAAGGTAGAGCACAGCTAGGCATGGAAAACTAAACTGAATGCTGGGAAAAAAGAGGCAAAGTCAGGGAGAAGCCACAGAGCCGCTGCCAGAGACAGACATACCTAAACTTTACCAGGGAAGCCACAGCCACATGGCGATACACAGATTACTAGAAATGGATTAAATTAAGATATAAGAGTTAGCCAATAAGAAGTTAGAGTTAATGGGTCAAGCAGTGATTTACTTAATACAGTTTCTGTGTGATTCTTTCGGGGCTGAGCAGCCAGGAACGAAACAAGGGGCCCTCCTCCAACACTAGTATCTATAGTCAGCTCTAGGCCAGCCAGAGTTGTGTAGTGAGTCTTTAAAAAGAAAAAAAAAAAGTATCCAGGAATTAAGTGTGGTTGCAAACTTTTGTGAATATACTAAAACACCACTGAATTACAAATAGGTGTTACAGGGCTGGAGTGATGGCTCAGGAGTTATAAGCACTGGCTATTCTTCCAGAAGATTGGGTTTAATCCCCAGAACCCACACTGTAGTTCACAACTTCTGTGCTCCAGTCCCAAAAGATTCTGAAACCCTGCTCTGGTTTCCTTAGGCATGAGACACACATGTCCATCGACATACATGTAGGCAAAATACCCATCCACATAAAAACTTTTTAAAATGGATGTTTCATTTTATGAGAATTAAATCTTAATTCAAAAGCCGACTAGGAAAGTAGAATATTTCTACTTTTTAGGGGAAAGTAAAATCTAGTAAAATCAAATTGAAAAATTTTCGCATCATCTAAGAAAGTTCAAGACCCATCCAATGCAGACCTAGTAATTTCAATCTGTAAGTTGCACATAGCATTAGACACATGGATAGAATGTTCAAAGCAGCATTGTATTATAACATCAACTGTGGGGGGGGGGGGAGAACTAGAAGTTTATCAGCACTGAAATGAACAAACTATGATTTTTTTCACGCAACAAAATTTAATGTGGAAATAAAAATGTATGTATTATAGCAACATTAAATATGACAAATATAATGTTAAGTCAAAGAAAATCAAGCCACTAAAGAAAATATCACTCCATGAAGTTGGCACAGTCCTGTATGTAATCGCAGCACTCGGGAGACTGAGACAGAATACTATGAGTTCAAGTTCAGCCTAGGCTAGAGACAACCAGAAAGACATAAATTTACTGATATCAGAAGACAAAACAATGTTTCTTTTCCCTGCTTATCATACTTGTTTTTGCCTCCATAGCAGTGGCTCTCAACCTCTGGGTGGCATTCTACCAACTGAGAACATTCTGGTTCTCGCCGCCTAAATCAGTGGTTCTTAACAATGACCTTTTCATAGAGGTTACAAACTAGATATTATGCATATCACATATTTATATTATGCTTCATAATAGTTGTAAAATTATAGTTATGAAGTAGCAGTGAAATAATTTTATGGTTGGGGCTCACCACACCATGAGGAATTGTATTAAAGGGCTGTAGCACTAGGAAGGTTGAGAACCACACTGCTTTAAAGAAAAGCAAATGAACAGATAAGAAATAAGAAACTTAAAGCCAGAGTGTGATATATACTTGTCAGACTAGCACTTGGGAGGCTGAGGTAAGAAAGCCAAGATTAGAGGCAAGGCTGGGCTAACAGCAAATTCTTGTTTAAAGAAGACATTCGAGGCTACATCTACAGGTGTGGAGAAAGTCACAGATAGGAGGGTACACAAATAACTTTAACAGAATCATTTTTCTCCTAAGTGATGAGTCACTGAACCAGTATCTACTCACTATTTCACAGAAACAATGTAAAACCTGAAGAGGAATATGGAACAGGAAACACAGACCATTTAGAGGTTTTACTGTAAAGAGAATAATGAACATAAGCACAAATCCATTTTTTCTGTTTTTTGTTTTTTTTTCCTGATACTTAAATTTTTTATTATATTCCTTGCGGTAGTTTGACTGAGGTGTCCCCAGAAGTCTTGGGCATTTCAAAGTGTAGTCTCCAGTATTAGAGGCATGGCCTTGCTAGGGGCAGGCTCTCAGGTTTCGAGAGTCGAGCCATTTCCAGTTAGCACTCTGCTTCCTGTTCCAGCCTAAACACCTCCTGCTTGCCGCCATGATCCACTCTTCTCCCCTGTAACTCTAAGCCAAAGCCAACCCTTCCTTCTACAAACCCCTTGGTCACGGTGAACTGCCACAGAAAACTAAGACATCTTCTGCTCTCCGAATTCAGATCCCCTGAACAGATAAACACAGCATCCCAGTAGAGTGAGGGAGATCTATTGGTTTTTTTTTATTTTTTTTGTAAAATACTCTTAAGTTCCCCTAGAAGAATTATAAACAAAAACAAAAGGCCAAACTTCCATCAAGCTTTTCACTAAAAGCTTTACAAGACTCTACTCAAACTCTCAGAATTAGAGAAAATATCACTGTGGCCCTAAACTCAGTGATGAGTCAGCCAATTTTTGTACAATATATACGGTATAGATGTAAGCTTGTACTCTAAAAAAAAAATCACTTATTTTTTAATTATATAAAGTATTTAAGAACGCCTCCCAGTGAAGCTAGCGCATGCTCTCTGAACTGCATGTGTGAGAATGCTTAACAAGTCAGCTTGACATTCGACCGGGTACATAGCATCTCCAGCATACCTGTGACATAGCCTTCTAACGCTTTCGGGACCAGGGACTTTGCAATTTGCAGGTCTTCCAGAGAGCATTTGCCTGACTCCAGACCGAAGGACATTCCCATCCGCTTCAGTACTTCTATGTCATCATGGATCTCAAAAGTGTTATCAAAATTAAAAAGGTATTCAAACCTGCAAAATAAAGCAAGGATGGGGAGGGTTGAGTGAGATGGCTCATAGGTAGAGGTGCAGGTACCAATCCTGACAACTTGAGTTCAGTTCTCTCCCCCCACCACACCCCTAAATACATAACTTTAACACATATACACCTAAATACATAAATTTAATAATAATTTTTCTTTAAAGAAATAAAGGAGGCCAGGTGGTGGTAGCACATCCTTTTAATCCCAGCGCTTGGGAGGCAGAAGCAGGCAGATTTCTGAGTTTGAGGCCATCCTGTCATACAGAGTGAGTTCCAGGACAGCCAGGACCACACAGAGAAACCTTGTCTCAACAAAACAAAATAACCCCAAAACAAACAAAAATAAAAATAATAAAGAAAGGAAGTATGGGGTCTTGGTGCCGTAGAGGAGCTCTGCAAGGTCTTACATCCTGTGCTCTGTCTGCTTAATTTGCTTTCTGGGGTTTCTAGTAGACTGGCTTTAATTAGTCTTTTTTTTTTAATATTTATTTATTTATTTATTTATTTATTTATTTATTATGTATACAATGTTCTGTCTGTGTGTATGTCTGCAGGCCAGAAGAGGGCACCAGACCTCATTACAGATGGTTGTGAGCCACCATGTGGTTGCTGGGAATCGAACTCAGGACCTTTGGAAGAGCAGGCAATGCTCTTAACCACTGAGCCATCTCTCCAGCCCCCTTTAATTAGTCTTAAAGAAATAAAGTGAATGTTCAATTTTCCAGCTAGCCACAGAATACTCAGTCAATCAGGAAAACTTTTCCCTTTGATCTGAGATGAGGATGTACCACACTGCACAGTTTGGTCTGAACTCCTAGATTCAGGGATCCTCTTAGGTAACTGGGACTTCAGTCACTTGAACTGAACATATCTGAATTAAATGGAAGACAACTGTAACAAAGCAAACCCAGCCAAATCCTCTCGTGAGGAACTAAGAATAAAATATCTTAAGCAAGTGTCACAGAGCTCAGTATGGTAGTTCATGCCTTTAATACCATTACTTGAGTTTAAAGCCATCTTAGGTTTCAAGATTTCTAGTCCAGTCTAGTCTACAAAGTGAGAATCTGTCACAAACCAACAAAAGTACCACATATAAACTACATAGCAGCTATCAGAATGTTCTTGAAAAGTAATCAGTTTAGATGCCTGAATACACAGCACAATCAAGAAGCAAAGAAAGGGACAACAAGATGTGGCCTAAACTTATCCCCAGGAAATACTTTGGGGAAGGACAGAACTGACTCCTAGCCAGGCCTGAGACCTCCATCTACAGGTTCTGTGCTGTTTGTTATAGTGCAAGTTCTGAATAATTGTGGGTTTGACCTTCTTATGGGATTCTCTATTAAATGCATGTGAGGTTGAGACTTATACTATTCTAACTTAAAGCAGGAGGCTGAAGTGAGTCTGAAGTATATTAACAAGCTCACAATGAACTGGAAGTGGGCACCTGCCAGAGGGATGATTTCAGGCATCTTTACATGCAGATGGCTTTGTAAATTTAATTGCATTGTGGGAAAGCCTCCAGGCTAATTAAGGGTAAGATTGCTTCACCAAAGTAACTGACAGACAAGATTACGGACCTACCTCAAATAACAAGTGTGTGCAAGCTGCTCCATGAGGGGATGCAAGGCAAGGCATGAGTCAGTGACCACCCAAGGCATAGAACCAAAATAGATTCCAGCCTGGGTGAACAGTGACCACAAACTGTTAAGGTCAATAGTTCCCAATGGTTCCCAATTTTCCTGAAATTTTTAATTCTTCTAAATTTAATGTATTTATTTATTTATTTATTGAGACAGGTCTTTCTTCTGCAGTTCTCCTGGCTGGCCAATGCTGGCCAGCTCATAGCAACCCTTCTGCTCAACCTCCTGAGTACTGGGTTCACAGGCTATGTACTACATGCTCAGCTGTGGAAGCTCTATAATCTAAGAAGAGAATTATATAGTCCTTCATAAAGGAAGAGACTAACTTTAGAGAGTAATTACAGTACGACATTTGTAGGTCACTTCCAAAGATGTTAACCACTTTGAAGGCTTCTCAGTGTTATATGTGGATAGTCCTCTTAAAGACAGGTTTCTGTAGAGTCTGGGGATGTGAATAATAACTATGACATCCAACATTTTACTGGGCTAGATATTATGTGAATTTATTTATAGTTTCTATAAATTGGCAAAATAAGTAACTGATTTTAATTTTTTGGTTCTTGAATTCTTCTACATTATTTTAGTGTGTGTGCACAATGGAACATGTGTGGAGGTCAGAGAACAAGTTTTTAGAGTTGGTTGTCTCCTACATTGTGGGTTTTGAGAATTAGAATCAGGTCACCAGATTTGGCAGCAAGCACCTTTGATCCACTCAGCCATTTTGCTGGCCCTAATTTTTATTTCTATGGAGAAAGGAATGAGATCTTAGAAAGGCTAAGAAATTTAAAAAATGAAAACTGCTTGTCCCTAAGAACAGCAACTAGCATTTATAAAATGTTACAGTGACCCAAATCTTTTAAAAGCATTATCTCATTCAACTTCACAAGGCTGTAAACAGGAGCTCCATGAGCAGGCAGGGAGAGGCGCTGGATCACAACTGGGACCTGTCTTGTCCCCTATGCACATAATTTCCTTCTGAAGGCCAGGTAAAATACAATGAATGCTCTACTTTGAAAAGTGCTACTTCATATTTGCTAAAGTGAATGGTGTCAATTTTATTTAAACTGTTTGAGATATTTTTAAAAGATTTATTGATTTATGTGTTCACATGGGTAGAGGCCAGACAAGGCATTGGGTATCCTCCTTTATTACTTCCCAACTTATTTTTTTCAGACAGGTTCTCACGGAGCCTGAAGCTCACTGTTTGAGCTAGGCTGCCTGAGCAAGCCCTAGCAAACTTCCCACTCTGCTATCATCACCCCGCCCCCGAGTAGGGTTATAGGTAAGGACAACACACCAGCCTTTCTATGGGGGTGGGGATCCAATCTCAGGACTCTGTTTTTACAGCAAACACTTTAGTCACTGTGCCATCTCCCAGTCTTGTACCCAGGATTTTAATGCTCACGTGTTCATTCATAAAAAAGCAAAAACAGCACGTGTTATGGCACACGTCTTTTAATCTCAGCATGTGGGAGGTTGTGGAAGGAAGATGAACTGAATGCCATCTGTGGCTACATAGTCAGAGGACACACTGGGCCTTAGACCAAATAAATAACAAATAGCATACGTAAGTATGATATAATAAATGAGACAATTGCTTTAATGCCACACACTAGTCTGATATATTTTCCTAATAAACCAGAACAGTGACTCCTCCTGGGCCCTTGTTGATGTCTAACTTACTGCAGTTACCTGCTCAGTTACCACAAAAGTGACACACATGACAGCTAGGGCCCAGGTACCACCATATGTGTGACAGGCAAGCCCAACATGGGGTAGGGACTGTATGGTAAACAACAGCGCTCACTCTTGCTGAAAACAGCACCATGCCCGAGAACACATTGCACATACCCCACTGAAGCCAGGTGAAGGGCTGTAGACAGTGGGGTGCACCATCTTTACGTGGAAGAACATCAGCAGAAGGCAGGCCCTGTACCCCTCCCTTAGTTCCTACTCACTTGTCACTGGAGATGCTGCAATCTATGACTGTTTTTCTGCTCGTATTAATGATTATAAATGGCAGCTGAATGGTGGAATTCAGAGCTGGAGGGCCCTGGTTTTGCTGTTCATTTTGTCGATTTCTCTGTACCAGGTTTTTAAAAGCAATTTGCTGTAATGTTCAATAAACAAAAGGTGATCATTTAATATGAAAAAGTGACATTGAATTTAAATGAATTAACATACATTTTAAATATCTATTTCAAACTTCGAGTATTTAAACATCTGTACTAGCAAATAAAAAGTTAAACATGATAAAAGAGAATGATTAAGTTCAATAAACACATTTCAAAAGTAAAACACACATATTTCTTTTATTTTTATTTATTTATTTTTTGAGACAGGGTTTCTCTGTGTAGTCCTGATTGTCCTGGAACTCACTATGTAGACCAGTCTGTCCTCAAACAAATTCACCTGCCTCTGCCTCCCAAGTGCTGGGATTAAAGGCATGCGCTACCATACCCAGCAAAATACACATCTATTTTGATGATGTCTAACTAAGATAAATATTGTGGCCTCTGTTTTCCATTTCCCAGGGTAACAGGCTCTCAGAGACATGGGAGGACTCAGCAGCACAGGCAATAATTCTCTTTAGAGTGACCCCAAGTAAATTTTGTATCAACTCACCTCATTCGGCATCCTTAGACACCTTTTTTATCTAGTTCAGAGTTACACAATTCCTTTAAACCAGAGAATACTCTCAGGATGACATCTGGCATACTCAAAACAGAAAACAGATGGAAGCAGCAATGCCCTCCTGACGGCAGGAAGGTGGGTTCCCCCGCAAGACGACCAATTTTAAAAAAGAATTTAGGCCGTCTCTCTTTCATATTCTCATGAAACAACGGTTTTCAAAAACACCAAATTCATCTTATGTTAAAAAAAAAAAAGAAAATCTTACTTATGTTCAGAACTGTTTCATTTCAGGTTTGGGGCCTTAACTAAAGTTTGATTTACAAAAGTATCTTAAAATGGCTGGGTTCCATTTCCCTAGAAAATAAACACTGTCTCTTAAAACTCACTGTTCAAAAGGAATACCAATTTATTCTAGTATTAACTGTCCAACTGTCAATGTCAAAGACTATCAAAATTACCACTATCACTACGACTATCAAACTTAAAAGTTACATTTGTTATTTTCTATTCCCACAAAACAAAAGTAGGCAGCTGGAAAGACAGCTCAGGGCAGTGGTTAAGAGCACTGGCTGCTCTTGCAGAGGATCCAGGTTCAATTCCCAGCGCCCAAATGGCAGCTCACAACTTGTCTGTAACTCCAGTCCCAGAGGATCCAACACCCTCACACAGACATACATGCAGGCAGAACACCTATACACATGAAATAAATTAAAAACAAATAACATCAACAACCACCAACCCAAAAGTTGCTTATATTCATTCCCCAACACCTCTTACATCCAGAGAAAAAAATGTTCTTCAACTAGAAGTGAGAAAAAGAATGAAGGGGTCAAACACATCTCTGTAACTTCTCTTCCCTTCTAGAACATAGCTTGGCTGACTTATAGACAAGGTGTCCAGGTGGGTCTCTAACTTGCTGTGGACCTAAGTAAGATCTTCAATTTCTGGTCCTTTTGCCTCTACTTCCCAAGTGCTGTGAGCATAGACCGGCCATCATGTTTGTGAGAACACAGCTTCTACGGGGTTGAGATCCCATATGGAGGGAGCTATGTAAATAAATGTTTGAATTAAAAAATAATTAGCAACAGTATAAGGTTTCTGACAAAAAGTTAATTGAGACTCTACTACATCATAAACCTATGTTGTTTCAGCCAGTGCTCACTTGTGTTGTCCTGTGTCATCACTGGAGCTTAGACTCACAAAATACAACGTGACCACTCTGCACTGTTAATGCCTTCACACCTCAGTTAAGACAATCACATAGTATGAACTGCAGTGTTTTTACTCTACAAAGTTTTCTATTCTTGTAGAAAATATCAAAATTATAAAAAAGACTTGTAGTATTTCCCTACCACCATTCCTCAGCATATAAATATAAAATTAGTTTATCTTTTGATTAAATTGTATTGGAATGCTTGATTTTAAGAATATTGTTGCTTGAGCTGGACATGATGGCACACACCTTAAATCCCAGCACTTGGGGACAGAAGCAGAGAGATCTCTGAGTTTGACGCTAGACTTGTCTACAAAAGTGAGTTCCATGCCATATCCTGTAGTGCACAGAATATGCATGAATTTCTTGAAGGGAATTCATATTTTTCTAAGAATTTTCATGTACCTATTGCAATTGTGGTCAAAAAAGGAACATTTTCTGATAGAAACTGTGTTAATTAAAATGATGTATGATCTGTCACCATTTTTAGGCACTGTATGATCTCCAGGAAACTGGCAGGCCTCTCTGTAACTGTTAACAGTGCATGCTTGGCCAGTATACTGTAAATAACCTTTACTAAATGTGTTTGACAAGGACCATAATTAACATCACTTATGAATTGTGATAAGAAAAAAGCCTTTGTTTATTGATGATGTGAGTGGCTTTTTCCATGTGGCGCCAGGAAAGAACCTGATTAAAAGCTATAACCAATGGTACTGATCTATCCGTCAAAACTGTCTTTATATTTGATTATAGTTTAATGGTATTTTCAGCTGGGAAAGTTACCAGATGTAAAATGGCTTAGTTCTACTGAAGACAGGTCTTATAAATGAACAACTTTCCTCACAAGCCGTTAACAACCTTTTTTCAGGTGTTAGCATCTGTTTCAGGAATATGGCAGTGTGTTTACATGTTGTCAGAAGTTTTGTTTGAATGGGATTTCTAAATTAATCGACTTAAGTAAACTCAGAAATGGGGGGAAAAGTGAGTTCTAGTACAGTCAGAGGCTACGTAGACAAACTCTGTCTCAAACCAAGAATAACATTTTTTTGAGATTAGTACATCATTAAATTAATTTTGTCTTGAGATTAGGACAGAATTTGAATAATTATGCATTATATCCTAAACGTACTTGTACATCATGAATGAAGTAATTATACAAGGTGACAGTCTCAAAACTGACTCAAATCAAAGTAACAACTCTGGGAGATGTTGAAGATACTTCCTGACCTGCAGTATGTATCAAATATTCACATTTATTACTATTATTTTATGTGTGTGAATGAGGGCAACTTTGGGGGAGTTTCTTTCCTTCCACCTTCTGTGGTATTCTAGGGACTGAACTCAGTTCAGCAGATTAACATTCCAAGTGTCTCTACCTACTAGCCATCATGCTAACCTCAATTTTTATGTAAAAATGAAGTCACATTCATTACCAGTTTGAAAATTTGCTTGTCATTAATAAATGGTAAATTAATATTTCTTTGTGGTTATTATCATCAAGTGCTTGATCTGTAAACCTATATACTCATGCCATTTCAGATTCCTCGGACTAAAGGGAGACATTAAGTAATAGCATGTAGCCCAGCAAAGTCATAAACATTCCCAAGAAACTGTGCCAGCTCTAGTCAAAGAGACCACCAGGGGGTCCAAACAACATCTGCTTGCTTCAAATGTCCTTGTGGGTATCTGATTAACCACTGTTTTGAAATTCTTTTTTTTTTATTTATTTATTATGTATATAGCATTCTGTCTGGATGTTTGCTTGCAGGCCAGAAGAGGGCACCAGATCTCATTACGGATGGTTATGAGCCATCATGTGGTTGCTGGGAATTGAACTCAGGACCTCTGGAAGAGCAACCAGTGCTCTTAACCTCTGAGCCATCTCTCCAGCCCATGTTTTGAAATTCTTATCTGCTGACAGTCATTGTTTTAAAATTCCCCTATATCCCAGCCAAGGAATCCAAAAGTTGTATACTTTTACCCAATCCTTAAATCAAAGGGTTGTGTCACCGTGCTTGCAGTTTTTCCCTTTAAAGCCCCTTACCCTGAAACCTTGGGGTCATTTTCCCCCACCTGCTGCATCAGTGATGGATTATGGAGTGACTGATTACAGTCCTAGTTAGCTAACTTGTAATTAATAAACTCCAGTGTGTTTGCATGGAATACCAGCTCTGTGGTGGTCTTGCTTGGGGGTCCCATGATGTGAGTACAACAGAGGAATACAAACAGTGATAAGGAAGAGCTCCTATATACTTATGACTCACTGTTTAATAGCACCAAAATTGTGTAGATGATGAAAGCAGTTGGAACACACTTGCTGTGGGACAATGGTTTTACCCTATAAAGATTTGTTTCTAGTACTTGTTTAATAAAATGCTGATTGGTCAGTAGCTGGGCAAGAGGTAGAGGCAGGGCAACCAAGGCAGGAAGTAGAGGTGGGGCAATGAGAACAGGAGAATTTTGGGAAGAGGAGAGAATCAGTTATACAGTCCTCACTCAGACACACAGCAATTAAGATGTGACTACCTTGCCAAAAAAGGTAACAAGCCACGTGGCTAACATAGATCAGAATTATGGGCCAATATAAGTTATAAGAATTAATAAGGGCAGTGGTGGCACTCGCCGTTAACCCCAGCACTCGGGAGGCAGAGGCAGGAGGATCTCTGTGAGTTTGAGGCCAGCCTGGTCTACAAGAGCTAGTTCCAGGACAGGCTCCAAAGCCACAGAGAAACCCTGTCTCGAAAAACAAACAAAAAACAAACAAACAAACAAAAAAAGAGTTAATAAGAAGCCTGAGCAAATAGGCCAACCAGTCTGTAATTAATGGAGGCCTCTGTGTGTTTATTTGGGACTAAACAGATGTGGGACCTGATGGGACAGAAACCCCAGTCAACACATACTGTTATTTTAATCTTCTTTTGCAGTGCTGGGTATCGAACCAAAGGCCTTGTTCTTACCAGGCAAGTACTTTACCACTGAGTTACATGCCTAACTTAGTATTTCTATTTTAATAATAAAAATAAAATTACCTCCTATGTACTGTGGACTGATTTCCTTATCTGTTTTACTCCCTTTGGCTTTTTGTTCTTTTCAGACTCAATATCATTTGTTGCAGAGGCTGAACAGCTTTAAATGTGTTCCTTATGGAAAAGGTTTAAAGGCAGGAAAGGACAATTAAGTAAGGCATGCGTTATCTATAAGTATAATGTAGTCACACTACTTATCTCAACTGTCAGCTTGATGAGAATCACCTGGGAGAC